ACTTTTATATTATAAACTGTGTTCAGATAAAATGTGTCTTTCAGTGACATTAATTTATCATGATATTGCCTTTCTATTCCTCAGTAACTGACGCCCAAACAGATCTAATTAGCGCAATTCATTGACACGTTCGCCCTTTCAGCAAAAGAAACAATCATCCGCATTTCAGATTTGGGCCTTATTTTATCTTGTTAAAATGTGGAAACCCTCAAATGAATGATGCACCTTTATCCCTTTCCTCCCACACCCGGTCCCATACTTTGTCCTCTTTGTCCTCTTGTGACAAAAAAAATCTGCTCATGAACCTGACTTGTATCGTGTGCTTGAGATTGTACAGAATCCAGCTTGTGCAACATTGCTGATTTCCCACCACAAGATGGAGATTATTGCTTCACCTTCATACAGTGAATATGCAGTATATATAATGCATGCCCAGTTCAGTTATTAGAATAACCCTGGATTTCTATTAATTGCATGTTTGTCTAATTCTGGTACCCTAGTAGGACCAGAATTAGACAGAATTCTGGTCCTACCAATGTAGTTTAATGATACTTGTTCAGTTTAAACTGACAGCCTCAGACAAGTGAAATGAACACATCTGTGAAATAGAACCAGGATCTTTGACACTATGGTTGTCTTAAAAGCATAATCCCAAATCCATTATTGGTTATCCACAGATTCCAAATGTGCCTGATGTAAATGTCACATTATTATTTGCAGGAAACGATATGTCCTCGTCACCTGCTGTGTCGTTACTAATTGCTTTCATCCTAACCCTTCTCATGATGGAGAATAATCTATAATAACACACCCCATATTCCTGGCAGGAAATTGATTGTCATTTATGCATGAAGGCTATAAGAGGGTCAGAGGTGGTGAGCTGCAAGCAGTAGTCGATCACTCGCGGGACAAAAGGCTTTATTGAAAACATTTTTCCATGACGGTAAGTTTGCAGTAATGCCTCAAGCAATGCTTCTTAAAACAGGAGGGGAGGGCAGGAAAAGTGAACATATTTAAAGATTAACCAAACATAAATGGGTGAAATCCCACTTTCACAGAATTACTCCTGGTTCCGTTTATTTATAAGTGTTCTTTTTATTCCTCAGACAAAAGCACTCTGTAATTTCTTATTTAGGCCACCTAGGTTGTCATTTGTTATGACGTTTCCTTCCTGCTTGGACAGATGGATAATACAGCACCCTTGCTGTTTTTAGCCAGGTTACTGACAGATGCCTGTTTACTGGGGTGGTGACAGCAGTAAACACTGTGGAGTCGCACTCAGTAGTCATCACATCTGCCGGACACACATCTTCAGTCAACCAAGCTGCAGGGCAATTAAAGTGCAAATCTGTTGTCCTAGCCGGGAAAGATTTGAATGTAAAAGCTGGAACTATACTTTTGACTTTACATTCAGTCATTTTGAAACTATGTCTAAAATCATCCACAAAACAATCCTGATGTAATTTAATCAGAAGGGGAGAAAAGTAATTTGGGGAAAATATGTGACCTAATAAAATATCACATGTTTACCCCAATATGACTAATGCATTTCCATTTTCTTTCAAAAAGGTACAGACATGTTCATATGATATTTGCTAATTTCCAGGGTTATGTATATCCAAAAATAAAGATCTTAGATACCACAATGATGTAGGAAGCGCACAGATAACAATTCACGGTTATGCAATAGTTCTGGTAAAAGATCCAATTCCAGATCAAGATATCCCCCCACTTTGACTAAATAACTTTCTCGCAAAACCTTAAGATTCTTCCCCCCTTCCCCCCACCCACCCTGGGAATATAATAAGAACTTGTCCTTATATAATTTCTTTCATGTGTCTTGAAACTCTTTGCAAAATCAAAATGACTTGAAATGTAATATAATAGTAATCTTTCCATTGGATGTGGCATCTTTCATGTCAGGAACAGGTCTCAAAGCTCTTCACAGGATATAGTGTTGAGTGGAGCATCTTTTCTGGGTGAATGTGGTAGTCAATCTGTGTACAGCAATGTCCCACAGATAGCCATGAAGTGAATAACCGGTTTTATTTGGGGGAGTGTTGGCCAGGACACCAGGAGAAACTCCCTTCTATTATTCAGTAAATAAATTCCTCCTCCTTTCTTTACTATATTTCATTGCGAAAAAATATAATGTATATATTCTAAGGTTCATACAGTATAATTTTTTTACACGTTCCATGCTTTTCTGCATCTTATAATTCTATCAACCATTTTGAATACAGTATATTGCAGATGTATTCGTGGCAAATCTAATATTATTTTTCTTATAATGGTGCAGTTTTCTGGGTGTACCTTGACCTATTTAAAATATGAGCTTGTATCCAGTGCTCGAATTGAGGTTATTCGACTTTGCCCAGATGTGGATAAAGACTGTTTTGCAGTTCTAATCCTAGCAGTCTCTAGTTTTCACTTGCTGTCTCGCATTATAACAAGCATTTCTTTCACACAATTTACAGCAATCCAGGGGGCTGTTTAGGATGAATGTGTTTAATAGGTCACATGAAATAATTTGACAAATCTAATTATTTGGGTGTACTTTTATGCATTTGATAAAATCATTTGCGTTCTATAAACTGTGCACTTTTCAGATGCTCCACAGTGAGGTGCCGTTGTACTTTCTCTGTGCTCTGTAATGTTATGCATATACCGTTAAATCAATTGAATAACTGATTTCCTCAATGTTTATTCACTTCTGCCGGACCAATACAGCGCATGTAAACTGTGTTGTAATTCAACATTTTTTAAAAAATTGTGGTTTGCCATTTACTCAGATGAAAGTGATTGGGCTGATCCACGTCGAGTTTCAATGTAACACTGGGCTCCTGCAGCTACAAGTAATGAGGCATTAAACTAGCCTGCTAAATAAGCAATTAAACAGTGCGGGCTGGGGTCATGAGGATTAAGTTGTCTGCCCATTGTGCCTGTAGCGTATAAATAATAATAATAATCCTTGCATTTGATGTAGAACCTTATCACGTCTTGAAGATGTCTCAAAGCGCTTCACAAAATATACTGTAAAGTGAATTGACTGTATATTTTGTGAGCGAAACAAATGAAAGCTCCCTAAATTCTTACCAACCTAACCCAACAGATATTATTGGAAACCAAAGAAAGTGGAGAGATGTGTCCCTTTTTTAAAAAAAACACAGACAAACTGATGTTGTTCCTGTCCTGTATAGACTTTAGTGAAGTAGGGTTCACTACTGTATAACAATAGAAAGTGGTATGAATTTTTTTTAAAAATCTGTTCCAGTTGATGACACTCCCAAATAGTAAATGCATTCTGACAGTAATTAATCATCCCATAATACTCAGTTAGTTGCTGAAAAGAGATCAATGAGCAAGTCAATAGGAGTATGACTCTTTACAGAACAATTTTACTGGGATTTTTTTTTCAATTACCGGTTTAGGTTATATAATGACTGACTTGGGGGCATGGGAGGAATCATGGATATAAAAATAATAGTATTCCAATGAGAAAAAAATATAAAATGCAAAGGGGGGACACGAAATCAGACTCTGCACAAAAGCCCAAAAGGGAAGAGCACTGGTGTGAGTAAGTGCAGTTTCACTTGTCTTCATTTTTTTGAAAAAAAATAAAAGATTAGCTGTAAATTGCAGAGCAATAATGCATGTTTCTACCCCCACTCCCAAACCCCTTGTAAAAGAATCGAAGAGGAATTGAATTCCAGCTGCATGAGGACTGGGGATAGGTTTTCTTGTTAGTAATTCTCCTCGCGTTTCAGATTAATGATTCCTATTCTCAGGAGAGAGGAGAGAGGGAGAGGAGGGTTGGTTTGGGCAGTGCATTTTGCACTCGTTCTTCCCTGAACCAGTTCTCACTCAGACCAGCGTTTGCTTATTGAGTGAGTGATAGTGAGTGAGTGAGTGAGTGAGTGGGTGAGTGCAGGGGGCTGGAAGCAAAACAGTGGAGCAACTGGTAGTATAAGGTTTAGTTCTGGTGTGTTGTTGTTGTTGCTTTTGTTGTATCATATTTTTTCAAAAGCTGGAGGGACAAGGCACGGCTTCTGATGGATGGATCGACTTGAAGCATTGCTGGGGCAGGGGCAAGGGGCAAGGGCAGGGCAGGGGCAAGGGCAGGGCAGGGGCAAGGCAGGGGCAGGGGCAAGGCAGGGGCAGGGGCAGGGGCGGGGGCAAGGGCAGGGCAGGGGCAAGGGGCAAGGGGCAGGGGCAGGGGCTGGGGCTGGGCAGGGGCAGGGGCAAGGGGCAGGGGCTGGGCAGGGGCAGGGGCAAGGGGCAGGGGCAAGGGGCAGGGGCTGGGCAGGGGCAGGGGCAAGGGGCAGGGGCTGGGCAGGGGCAGGGGGCCAGGGGCAGGGGCTGGGCAGGGGCAAGGCAATCTGCTTCATTCAGTGTGTGAGTGAGACAGGCTCTGCCTGTGGCTGCGGCTGCTGCTGACTTGTGTGCGCGCAGCAACAGGACCAGTCCCCAACGTTTGACTGCGATGCACCAGGAGTGAGAGGAGGAGGAGGAGGAGGGGAGGAGAGGGGAGGGGGGTGTGGGGGGGGGGGGGGGGCGATGGAGTTTACAACGGACCTGGTCCGGACAGGACCCACACCGCCAGCACTCGTGCGACTGGGCTTGTCGGAGTAGCTGGTGAACTGCCACGAAAGAAAAGAAAAAAAGACCTCTGGCGCTCCCGCTCCGGGGCTGTTCCCGTCCATCCGTATCCCATCCATCTGTGGTTCACGAGGGCGACCAGAGGAGAAAGCACCTGAATCTCTCCCGTTGGCAAAAGGGCTGAGAGTGAGTCACAGGCAGTGCACAGCTGGAACACAACTCACACCCAACTTGGTGGTGGAGAGACTTTATTTGGACTTTGATTTCAACTCTTGATTTGTGTTGTTGTGTGTGTGTGAATCTGAAACTTTATTCAATTTTCTTTGCGATTGATACAAGCACTGGTCGTGTGCCAGCAACATTGCAGTGACATTTCCATTGCTTACTAGTCAAGAAGGCAACAGATAAGGACCCTGAGGTAGGAGGTATCTTCATATTCTCTGTTTGGGGGGGGGGGGGGTTGGGGGTGTTGGTGGAAGAGGTTAGAAGTTGAAGAGGAAACTTATTTTTGGAAGAAATTAAAATTTAAAGTGTTAATATCCAATTAAAATGTCTGCAGTCCTTTGGGTTTTTGTTTGAACTATCTGGATGTACGTGTGTCGAAAATGGCACATTGCCTTATAATCAAATATTCAACGTTTTCATAATAATAATAATAATCCTTGCATTTGATATAGCGCCTTATCACATCGTTGAGGCGTTCTCAAAGCTCTTCACAGAATATATTGCAAAGTGACTGTATTTTCATGCTGGACACATGCTGGTACAAATGCATCCACTAGGAACTGAGATCTTTGTAATGCATATCAGCTAAACGGGTTAGGAACGATGCCGAGATATGATCAGATAGGATAGATCATTGACATTAACGCAACATGCAATTTATTAAATTGTTCTATTATTTTGTGATGTATCCATCTTCTGTGCGAATCAAACAGAGAGAGAGAGAAGGAAAGAAAGCATCAATGGGACCAATTGGGAGAATTCACTCACTACCTTTGCAGAAATTCAAAAGTGACAGTCTATTAGTAAAACCTATCCTCGCAGGCTATTGCAGTGTCTTAGTCTGTTTAATGTAAGACGGGAAATGTAAGGAGCAAAAGAGTAAATGCGGATTAAGACAACTATAAGCCTGTAATGCTTTGCAATTGCAGAAGCTGCCATCTCTCCTCAATTTAAAGTTCATCATTCACTCCAATACCTCTCATAATACTGTATATGAACATCATCTCTGGTATTTGCGAGACCTGATCGAGTAATATGCACATATTAGTGCATAAAATGTACTAACAATGTTACTAACAATTGCTCCAAACAATATTACACTATGAGCATGATCTACTTTTTTCATATAAAAAGTGTTGAGGCATTCTTGGTGTAAAAGATTTTCCATGACTTCCTTTTCCCAGAACTAAAGTACAGTAGTAATAATAAGCCTTACATTTGGTATAGAGCCTTTCAAGTCAGAAGGACACCCCAAAGTGCTGCACAGGATTTACTGTCAAGTGGAGTGACTGTGTGTTTTGTGGGTGAAATACAGTCTTGTTCTGATTTTCAAGCTCGGATCCAGGAAAGTAAGGTTCAGTGTTTCAGATTATACGTCCTCCCTTCCTCTATTTACATTTTCCCTTAGTGAGGAGAGAGAGGGAGCAAAATAGTGCAGAGGATAACAGATTGTCTTATCATCGGACCATTGAATTCCATGCTACTCCAGCCCACCCAGAAGATGGGACTAGAAGCAGGAAGTTTAAACAGCAATAGGCGAGTTTTCTTTTTTAACCTTTTTTTTTAATTTAAGAAAAAGAAAACTGCATAAAAGGAATTCTCAGCTCAGGAAAGGTTTTAGCTGATTCCTTGCTTTTTTTTAACGGTAAAAGCAAATGTAAGAGCAAACTTTCACATTGGATAAATGTTTTTGTAATGTGCAGCAGGTTTGATGTCTCAGAGAAGTGGTGTTCTACTGTAAATGGCAATTGATAGCACTATCCCAGCGCTTTGTGGTTTCCTCCTGACGTGAAAGGTGTTTTATAAATGTAATTTTATTGTTGTTGTTGCTATGCGATTTCAGCTGGTTAGATTCCAGCAGTACCCCAACATACACTCTGGGGTCCCCAAGCCTTGGCTCTTGCCAACCTGCGCCTAATAATTTCTGGAATTAGGTCAGCAGGCTGTGTCCTTCTAGGGAGAGAGTGCGCATTCCATTCCAACAATTTATCTCAGGCATTTCCATATGTTGGTCAGATCCATGGAATTCTCAGTTTGGTTTAGATAACATGGTGATGGGTTAACATATGTATCAGACGCCCTGCTGACAAAAAAAATTCCCCCAATGTATTAATTTATTGTTGTATTGCCCCCATTCATTAAGCACAAGGCATAAAATATGCTAGTTAAGTAACAATACTTCCATTTGTCCAACAACGTCACTGTGAAGCACCCCAAAATGTTGTCCTACATGAAGAGCACATTATAAATGCAAGTGGAGTAATGTAGCGTATTGGTTGGAGCACACTCGTCTCACAAGCAAGCAGAACCTGGTTTGATTCCTGGGCAGGGTGAAACCTTAAGCAAGTTTCCTTACTCCACATGCCTCTGTTTACCTAGCAGTAGATAGGAACCCGGTTGTTAGTCAATTGCTATATCGCTTTTCCGGGAGTAATAATGCCTTAAAACATTTTTAATAATAATAATTTGGTCACTCAATCCACGACTTATTGTGGGACACTGCTGTGCTCAATTGGCTACCGCATTTCACCCACATAATATGCAGTCAGTTTTCTTTACAGTATAATTTGTGAGGAGCTTTGACACGTCTCAATGACATAATAAGGTGCTATATCAAATGCAAGGATTATTATTATTATAAATTGCAGTTGGTATTGTTAGTTGTTTGTCTTCAGCTCTCATCAGATATATTCTCCGTATTTTTCTTTAAGGAAAAAAAGCAAATAGAGTTCAGGTATTGATTTTAAAAATAAACAAGGAAAGTATGTAATTACATATGCAGAATGGAAACTATGCAGTTCTAAATTGATTGTGGTAGCAATTTCTGTGTTTTTTATATAAAGGTGTTGAAATAATTGCATTGTTTTTTATGGAAATATTGTGGTATCATAATGATGTTCTAAAAAATAATAATAATTGCATTTGATATAGTGCCTTATCACATATCATGTTGATATGTCTCAAAGCACTTCACAGAATATATTGTAAAGTGGATTGACTGTGTGTTTTGTGGGTGAAAGTGCTACTCTTTTAATCTCTTTAGCAATTACAGCACATTTAAAATGTCAGATTCCCATTTTTGAGCACGCAATAATGTGTGCAGATCTTGGGTGTTATATGTCATTCATCATTATGCTTTTGAGGAACTCAGTGAAAAAGCATTTGGATAAAATGTCATGGAAGCCTTGGTTCTGTAAGAAATGCTATAACTCAATACGATCGCTTAATGTTAGAAATGAAATTTGACCCAGTGTTGCTGGTAAAATTAATTTCTTATTTCAGTGTCAAATACAGTGGAGGGAAGAAATCAGTCGTCACTGAGATTGGAATATTTGAATTTACCCCTTTAAAAGTTACCACCATTAAATAATTAGATAATGAACAAGGATATATCCCCCTTGCTTAAGTTCACCTGACAATTACTAGCCGTCTCCAAGCACTTTGACCAAGGTAGTGTTATAGTGTACTCATAGTTAGCATTCTCTTGTCATTTAACAGGGACTTGTATGTTTACCAACGTCTATAAAGATTCAGCACTGCAATCATTCTTTGATGTATAGTATCAAATACGCAGGTAGAATTTAATTAAGTAATTATCTTGTGGGCTAACAACTGTGTTGATAGTAATTTGGACTTGAAGGATCCGTGTCATGGGAACTGACTGTTTTGGGCTTGTGATGCTATGATTTTCGTAGACCTATCATCAAAGGATGTGAAAATACTGAACAATTCCACATAATGAAAATTTTGCAGTGATTACCGGGATGATGTCACACTGGCTCCTCGATCCATATATGAATCCCTGTGTCTATAGATATCTGAGACTTGTAACAGCTGGATTTGAACATCTATCACTAGTCCCAGCCTAGCTGCTCCAATTATTACATATGCTGTACTGTAGATTAGATAAAAGGTATAATGCTCAAATCAATTTCTCTGAAGATTTAAATGCAATGTTTCATGATGCATCTTCAGATCTACAGAAGACGAAGCTCATCTTTTTATACTGTAAAGTTTTATGTTTGGCACTCTGCCCTGTTTTTAAATAAATAATATAAAATAATCCTTTCATTTGATACAATTCCAGTTGCAGCAGCCAATTTGCACACGGCAGTGTCCCACAAATAGCCATGAAGTAAATGATCAATTTTAACTGGGGGATTATTGGCCAGGACACCAGGAGCAACTCCCTTCACTTTCCATTTAACATCTCGTCTGGTGGAAAGCACCTCCAAAAATACAGGGCTCATCCAGCAATGCTTTGGAGGATCCACCTTAGATTAGTGACTATGTGGCAGAGCACAAATTCAAAGCTTGCTGCACCGTTATTGAATATGTGGCTTTTTTGGTTACCTTTCATACACACAGCCAGGGCTTCAGATGATCAGAGTATTCTGATTCAGCTTTGAATTAGAGGCAAATATAACTTCTAGGCCAGTCAGCTGCCTGTATTCTTTGTGGGCTGGTACTAGAGAAAAAAAATGACCTCATAATATTTTGATCAATTTAATCCTTCTCTGTTTTTTCTCTCTCTCTCTTTCACTATCTCTTCCTCTTTCACTCTACCTTTGTGGAGTCCTGTAGCTCAGTGGTAAGAAGACTCGCTTGGCAAGCGAGAGACCTGGGTTCCATTCCCGGCAGGGTGAAACCTTGGGCAAGTCTCCTTACTCCACACGCCTGATGATAATCTCTCAAGAAAAAAAAACGTGAATAAATTGGTCACTTCAATCCCCGACTGTTTGTGGGACACTGCTGTGCGTAATTGACTGCCGCATTTCGCCCACAAGTATACAGTCAATTCACTGTACAGTCAATTCTGTGAAGTGCTTTGAGACGTCTAGAAGACATGAAAAGCGCTACATCAAATGCAAGGATTATTATTATTACCTCCTCCCCTTTTGCTCTTTCTCTTCCCTTTCTCCTCTTCACATTTGCATTCTTGGTCATGCGTGACATTTTGTAAAATTATTGCAGCAACTACGTCCTCCTGACATGAAAGGTGCTCTGTAAATGGAATCTTGTTGTTGTTGTACTTGTTACTTGGGTCTATTGCTCCAGCAACCTAGATCACAGAAAAATATTAATTTTGCACTGGTTTCACATTGTTTGAATTGCAGCTCACTTTGCTGAAGCACTGACATGAACACGTGATTCTTGCACCTGAACGGTGATTTTATTCCATAGGAAGATGTT